ACACACGTACCTTTACCAGATCTAAGACACAGAAATCAAATTGACTACATCTGTGGAAAGACGATGTAGGTGGACAAGCTCCATATCATCAGCCAAAACAAGGCCAGGGCCAGATTGTGGATCAGACCATCAACTGCCATGTGCAAATTCACAAGTCAGCTGAAGAAAATGAAAACAAGTCCACGAGATCCAAAATATGACCTTGAATATATCCACCTGAATTTAGAGATCATCTGAAGAACAGATTTGATACATTTAACATTAAAGACCGAAGACCAGAAGAGTCGTGGGATGACAATAAAAACATCATTGAGGAGGAAAGCAAAAAGTCATTAAGACAACTAAGAAGGAAAAGATCAAAACTGTTGTCAGAATAGTCTCTGAAAATTGCTGTCCCGTATAGAGAAGGAAGAAATGAGGAGGTACAAGAGTTGGAATAGAAAATTTCAAAGGTCAGCTAGAGAAGACAAATTCAAGTATTACAAAGAAATGTGCAAAGATCTGCAGTTAAAAAACCAAAATGGAAGAACACACTCAGCATTTCTCAAGCTGGGGGAACTGAGGAAAAATTCAAGCCTCGACTTTCCTTACTGAAGGATTCTCTGGAAAATTATTGAATGCTGCAGAAAGCATCAAAAGAAGATGGAAGGAATATACAGAGTTACTGTACCAAAAGGAAATGTCAATGTTCAACCATTTCAAGAGGTAGCATATGATCAAGAGCCAATAACACTGAAGGAATAAGTAAGTACAAGGTGCACTGAAGAAATTGGTGAAGAACAAGGCATACAAACAAGTTCATAAAGGAGACAGTTGAAGAGTTTCTGGAAGAAAATTTTCCTAAAATCATGAAAAGTGAAAAGATAAGCATTCAAGAAGCTCAACGAACCCCAGGATGGATAGACCCTAAAAGACAATCACCAAGGCATATAATGATCAAGCTCTCCAAAGTCAAAGATAAAGACAGCATCTTGAAAGCAGCTAGAGAAAAGAGAAATATAATGTACAAAGGCAAGCAAATCAGATTAAGCTCGGATTTCTCAAAAGAAACCATGCAGGCAAGAAGGCAATGGGGAAACATATATAAAACCCTGAAAGAAAAAAACTGCCACCCAAGAATCCTCTACCCAGCAAAGCTGTCAATCAAATACGATGGTGTAATCAAAACATTCCAGGATAGGCAGAAGCTAAGGGATTTTGCCAAAGCCAACCCTGCTATGAAAAACATCTTAAAGGAAGTTCTGTAAACTGAGAACCAGCAAGAACACATAACAACTACAGAATGACGTACATGGCAGCATCAACCTGAACTCAGTCGGACAAATTAAAGAGTCAAGAACAGAATAAAATGATAAGAACAGAGAATCTGGGAGGTCGGTCTATGATCAAAACAATTACAATGTGAAAAGGTGGTGGGAAGGTCAGGTAGATTACTGGATAAAATAGACTATCTTAAATGGAGGGAAGAACTAATGGAATATAAGGTAACCACAATGGAGTTGGGGAGGGCAATACAAGAAGGAGACAGGGGGCAGAAGAACAAGATAGATAGGGGAACACTGAGACAGGTTTGCATGGCCTAGTGGGACAGAGGGAAATAGTGATGCATACTCAACCTTGGAACAACAGGGCTCTGGGATACAGGGATCTAGGTATAGCTTGAAGAGGGGAAATAATACTAAACTCCTTCACTGCCTTATTAATAGTAGTTTCCCTTGCCTACTATTGTAAAATAGACACTTGAGTGGGATAGAAAGGAATGTTGGGAAACATGATTAAAGAAAACTTGTAAGCCCATCTTTAGCCTATAACTGATTGGAATACCTAAAAGGTGTTCTTCAACTTTCGCAGTGCAATAGGCCTCTTGCAAAGCCTTTGTAACGTACAGGACCTTAGATGCAAGGAATCCTGAGTCCCATCCAGAACCTTATGAGGCAGGGCATTCCCACTAAAAAGGACAAGCAGACTGTTCTGAACAGCTACAGTGAAAGAAGATACATCTTCATGATGAACCTGACCTATACTCAGAGCGGTAGTTACTCTAAATACCAACAGAGAGGGAAAGAGTCTTCACATCAAGTATCTATGCTACCCCCCCCCCCCCATACACAGGGTAGATAGGGACGGTTAACTTAAGACATTGGCTACCTAACATGAGGGGGCAATAAAGGCACAAAGTGACTGGCCTGCAAGGTTTCAAGAGGGAGTTTAGTTAACGTATATGGGGGGAAACCAAGAGTCCCCAATGAATAGCTATCATCTTGTCTAGATGGGCCTGGTGAAAAGAGATGGGGATAAGATTCGAAAGATTCAATAGTAAATAACTGTTATCATGACTAATTGCAACTGTCACAATTGTAAAAGCAGAAGTTTTGTAACTAAAAAAGGGGACTGGTTAATCTTATAGACCAGAAAACAGAGGACCCTAGGACCATCAAGAGAGAAACACACAAGCAGAATGCGGGACCTTATTCAGCGAAGCAGCAGTACCAGAGATGGAGGCAGACATGGGGGAGGCATGGAGAGGGGGAGTGGCTGAGGACTGTAGATTCATAGACTAAGACGAGATGAACTACAAGCTGGTGGCCAGGAGGCAGATTTGCAGAATGTGCCCTTCGGAGATGTTCATTATTATATATGCCTAAGTGGTTTGTTTGTTTGTTTGGTAAAAAGCTAAAGTGGATAGAGAGAAATACTGTAACTGATGGTAAATGGAGGTGATTATAATCATTGTAATGAAACAAGGTGTATGATTTGTTGAATGTAAAACTGATGATGTGCCCTGTAAACTTTCATTCAATCCACAATAAAAACCTTAAATTAAAAAAAAAAAAAAAGGAAAGGAAAATCTATAAAATAATTAGGTTAGTACTCTTCACAGCCAAGTGACATGAAAAGGATAAAAAGTGGACCCCAAAATCGGTAGGTCAAACCCACCAGATGTTCCTCGGAAACCCTATACAGGGTCACTAAGAGATGGAACTAACTAAACTACACTTAAACAACAACATGAAGACACAAAGTTCTGGTGGAGTGCTACAGGATAAACATCGAACTGCTATTCTCAAGGTTGGCAGTTCAGATGCACCAGCTGCTCCCTGAAAACCCTATAGGTGGTCGCTATGAGTAGGAATCAATCCAACTGCACTTAACAACAACAAAGCATGGCTAGTGAATACAACCTGTGAAAGGACATTAATGAAAAAAAGTAACAAATCAGAGTAAGATCAAGAGATAGATAATACTGTTATCAATGATAATTTCTAGATTTTTATCATTTTACAATGGTAGTTATGTAAAATGTTAACATTTGGAAAATCTGGTGACATCTGGGAAATCTTTATATACTATTTTTGCAAGCCTGAAATAATTTTAAAATGAAAAGTTTTTAAATGTTTATTTAAATGAGTAATTTTAAATTATTAATGTGAATTGAGCATCTCTTTAGATGCTTGTAGTTTTCTTTCCCTAACTGTTCATATTGTTTAACGAAGCTCATTGATACTGACTTCAGTAACATGTACTGGGTTCAACTGGGTTCCAAAAAGGTATGTTAAAAGTCTTAATACCTAATGCTTGTGAATGTAACTTTATTTGCAAATAAGAGTCTTTTGCAGATATAATCACTTAAAAATGAGGTCATACTGGATTAAAATGGGTCCTCTATCCTGATGACTGGTGTCCTTTCAAGAGAAAAATGTGGCACAGAGGAGACACAATGACACACAGGGAACACACCACTTGACAATGGAGGCAGAAAAACAAGTGAGAGATCTACAAACAAAATACTGCTATCGCCCACCAGAAGCTAAAGAGGCATAGGACAGATTCTCCTTGTGAGCCCCAAGAAGTAACCAACTCATTCACCACCTTGATTTTGGACTTCTAGCTTACAGAGCTGTAAGGGAATTACTTTGTTGTCTTAATTCACCCAATTTGTGATTATGTATTATGGTGGGTGCTAAACTCTTTAAGTGCTTGCACTGACTTTAAGAGCCTACACAACTGTAAAAAGTCTTGCTAGTATAGTGGTTAAAGTGCTTGGCTTCGATCCAAATGTTTAGCAGTTCAAGTCTACCAAACACTCCATGACAATGAGCTATACACCTGTCAACAGTAGTTAAAAGCACTGGCTTGAGTTTATATTCAAGATCCTCTCTTTTCTAGATGTATGATTAATAATTTTTAAAGCTTAGTAGTGAAAAAAAGGACTCCTGGTGTGGCACTATAGGATCAGCACTGGACTGAGAACCACAGGTAGTAGTTCAAACCCACCTCAGAAACCCAATACAGTATTGCTATGCATCAGAACTATCTGATGGTATTTAACAACAAATGAAGAAACAGAAGAAAGAGATATAGAGAGCATTTGCTCAAACAGTTTAGGACAAGAGAGAAATAATTCCGTACTTAAAATGTCCAATAAATTGTTCAAAATTAACCAGAGTAGGGAAGAAAAGTAAAATTGATAAGAGAAATGAAGCCAAGTACCAGGTCCTTCAGGAAGTAAAAAGCAATGGAAATACAAGCATTAGCGGAAGGGCAGAAAGACTGGCTTAGGAACATAAACATCTATGTATCAGAAGAAAGGAAGAGATATAGCCTACAATAAGACAGACATGCTAAAGTGTAAAGGAGACAAACAACAATTAAAAATGTTTGCTTGCTTGTTTGTTTGTTTGTTTGTAAGGAGGAGGGTAATACAGTAAGAATGAGAAAAAGACAACGGGGGTCAAATGGCGATCAGTGAGAGTTGAAAACCAGGGTTAAATGAGAAATGATGGTGAGTTGCTGAACTAACAGCATGAAGCTCGAATCAGAAAACTAAAATTAACAAGACACACATAATTCAGTTGTTTCCTATTAGTAAAGTTCAGTTGCTGTAATAATATGAAAACATTTATCAAACACAACTGTGCTGTTTATGCATTACTAAAATATAAAATGGAAGATTATATAGATACAATGTTTTCATTTAATTAACAACTAATTTTACATACCATTATCAGGAATTGGTTCCATGTCCCATGGGCTAAGTTTTTCAATTTCAGTATTGTCCCACCTGATAAACCCACAATAAAGAGAGTAATGGTTAGCTTTCATAAAGACATATTGTGACTAGTAGGTAGTTCACCACTACAAGAATTACCGAAAACGTAAAAATTAACCTGACTGTTGCAATGAAAATTTAAATACTCAAAGAATCTTTTCTTTAAAAAAGATACACTATAATAAGCATTAATCCTGTATGACAAGATTCAAGACTACCACCAGAAAACCTGAGGGGCCATGGCCAAGTGAAGAACAAAGTCAAAGACAAAATGCCAAGACATTGAATAACATGCTTCATAATGGGGATTTTATTCCACAGCCAACATAAAGGCATGAAGACTTTTTTGAGCCAAAGAAATGATAAAATATGTTTTTGAACTATAACTTTAACAGGAGGAAGGTATATGAAATCTTAAGAGGTTATAGAAGCAATCCAAGTGAAGAGCACAGGAGCAGAACCTGAAGCAAAGGGAACACACTCAAGGAATATCTAAAAGCATTTCAGAGCTCAGACTGACATAACTTTATGACAATACAATTATATTTTAACCTGAAGTGCCTTAGTCACTCATACAATAAGCTGGCGTGCTGAATAAATATTTGCAAATGACTATTTTCATCTGTATACAAACCTAACAATGTAACACTGGAAATGACTATCAGGATATTGTGGTTGATATGGCTCTTGACTTAATACTGTTCCAAACCACCAAGCATCATCAATTATAGAGCGGAATCTGTCACCTGTAAGAGAAATTATCAACTTTGAGACATGTATTTGCTAATATTTGTTGACAATAACATTTTTAATTTATAAAATGTCACAATACAAACAAAAAAAATCAAAGAATATGTTTATATTTAAACAAGCCATCCTTTCCTGCTCACTGACAGTGTTGTGTTAAAATAGATGTAACACAGGATATAACCTTTGAAGTCCTGGTGTGCTGTTATGAATAAGCACTGGACTGCTAACTGCAAGGTCGGCAGTTCAAATCCACCAGTCACTCCTAGGAAAACCTATATAAGGTCGTTATGAGTTGGAACTGACTCCATGGCACTTGACAACAACAAGATGCAGTATAGAGTTTCCAAGGAACAGCTGGTGAGTTTGAACTGTTGACCTTGCAATTAACAGTCCAGTACTTATCCTACAGTGACACAACACAATATAGCTATAAAACATAATAAAACAAAATTGGTTTGTGATTAAGATGCATTACATAGGTTAAAAAACCTATACCCAAGTTAAGATCTATCACATTTTACAAAAAAAGACAAAGAACAAATTTTAACACAACTTAAATATTTTATAACAATGTGTACTATGGATATATATTTGTTGAATACTGTTTGTTGCTCAGTGCCAACAAGTCAGTTCGGACTCAGAGCGACCCTATATAGGGTTTTTAAGATTATAAATCTTTGTGGAAACACAAAGTTTCATTTGCTTAATATTACTCTATTAAATACATATATTTATTAAATAGATAGCATTTCCTACACAATAAAAAAATTTTGAGCATGCTTTAAGTTGCTATTATGAAATTTTGCCACACAAAGGTTTTCTAATTTTTGAGCTCACATAATAAAAAAAAAAAAATCAACCCTAAAAAGCATACGTATTTGTTATTTCAAAAATGACACAAACATGACTACTACACAAATACCACAACCATATTACAATTAAAAAGCAGGAAAGCAAGTATTAAGAGGACTTCCAGACAAACCAAGAAAAATGTGAAAAGAAAACATAAACTGATTTTAGGTTATATGGATTAAAGTCTAGCCTCAAGTCAATGAGTAAAAAATAATTCTTTCTAAACATCATACACCAGAAAAACAAACAAAAACATTACTTCGCTAAAACATCTACTAAAAATGAGCAAGTACTAATCCATAAATAAAATCTACTTATTTAATATTTCTCTCCAGAATTTACATGTTTGCATACACAATAATTATCAGTACCACAACTAAAGACTAAACAAGAGCTTAAATTTTAAGAATATGTAAAATACAATACGGCGAAACTTACAAGACTGCCAATTCCTCTGTCTTGCTTCATCATAAAATTGACGCAATACAAGAAAGTCAATAACATCTGGCATATCATGATACCTAAGTAAAAACACGAAAACTATTAAATTCCCTGTATGGCAGGTTATAGTCTAGAGCAACATTGTCCAAAAGAATTATGAAAGAACTTCAAAAAGGTGATGGAAAAATAAACTTAAAAGCTAATGAATTTTTCCATGAGCTTTGTAAAGCCCCTTTGTCCAATGTAAGTCCCGTAAGTAACCACCTCTAGTTTTCTACTGAACACATTTAAAAAATAACAAAAAAACATCAATGATATAATTAACCCAATATATCCAAAATATTACTTCAGTCTATAAAAATCACATACTTTATATTTTTTTCTTTTGTACTATCTTCAAAATCTAATGTGTACACTTACAGCACAGCTCAATTTCATCAGCCACATTACAATGGCTAAGTAGCCACATGTACCAACCAGTTGGCTACAAATTAGCTAGCAAACAGTTGCGTTTATTACGTATTTTAACATTTTCTCAAAGCAACATAATTTCCCCTACAAGTCAGAACTCTTCACACATTAAAGTAGCATGGAAAAATGTAGATGGCAAGATGCCAATGCCTGGTAGTTGCAATGTATTCCTACTTTTACTTCTAAAAGGTTCTCACCTAGCAGAAATTGATTGCACACCTTGGGCTGTCCACAGTGCTTTCATATATACTCTGCAGCTAAATGGGAAGGGCATACTTATCAACTAGATGAAATATCTGAATTTAGACACTTCCATTGAAAACATTACATACCTAATAGAGAAAGATTTGTCCGTGAGTTTTCCAGTCGCTGGATCTATAAATGCTAGTTTGAGACAACAAAGTGTAGGGGGCCCAACTTCATACCGAATTCCAACTATTTTGACCAACTCTTGATCCTTCAACAGATTTAAAAAAAAAAGAAATGGCTAAAATAAAAACCATGACTCAAAACTCTAATTGTACACATATAATCAAATTAAGCCAAATTTCATCATTCAAGACAACAGACAAGTTTCATATGCTACTAGCCACTGTAATGATTATAGAGTTCTGTGTCAACTTGACTAGGCAAAGACTTCCAGAGGTTTAGCAATTGAGATGTGCTTGAATTCCCATGGTGACAAAACCTAATACAGGCATAGTTAACTCTGATGAGTGGCTATGAGCAGTCAATCAATTAAAGGGATGTTGCCTTGGGGATGTAACCTGCCCCAATACAAAGGACAAAGGGATTTTTATTTCTTTTCCACTGGGGGCCTGGGACTCTACAATTTTAAGCCATTTCACTTCGTAGTAATTGTGAATTGGATTGCTAACCACAAGGTCAGCAGTTCGAAACTACCAGCTGTTCCGCAGGAGAAAGATGAGGCTTTCTGCTCCCGTAAAGATTTACAGCATTGGAAACCCTGTATAGGGTCGCTATGAGTCAGAACCAACTCCACCACCACCACATATACACATACACATACATACATATGGAGCTCTGGTAGCGTCGTGGTTACGAATTGGGCTACAAACCACAAGGTCAGCAGTTCAAAACTACCAGCTGTTCTGCAGGAGAAAGAGGAGGCTATCTGCTCCCGTAAAGATTTATGGCCTCGGAAACCCTGTAACAGGGTCGCTGAGTCGGTTCCGACTCCACGGCACATAACAACAAACAACAACATATATATACACATACACACACACACATATATATATATACACACACGTTTCACTGGTTTTGCCTATCTAGAAACCCTGGACTGAGACAATAACAATCATTTTTGCTAAATTAATTTCCAAATCTCTTTGAAGACAAATATTTAATACCATCTATAATATAAGGAGCTCTGGTAGCGTAGTGGTTACAAATCAGGCTATGAACCTTAAGGTCAGCAGTTCGAAACTACCAGCAGCTCCGCAGGAGAAAGATGAGCTTTCTGCTCCTATAAAGATTTACAGCCTCGGAAACCCTGTGCAGGGTCACTATAAGTTGAAATCGGCTCCATGGTACTCAGCAAAAACATAATATAAGGAGTATACTCATTTAGAAAACACACAACAATTTTAAATAGAAAAAAATAAATCTAGTCAGTCTCAATATCTAAGAAAAACCACCATAAAATTCTGACACATTTCATCTTTCCTCTCTTCATAAAAACACATATTTTAATAGTTTTGTACTATACAAATTTAAGTCTTTTGCATATACATAAATATTCTTCAAAAACTTGTTATTAACATTTCTGCCTAACATATTCAATAAACTTTTGGTGATCTACTATGTCCTAATCAGTAGGGATCATCCATCAAATGGATGTGCCATAGTTAACCTTCCCCCTAATATGAGGGGTTTCAGGAAGTTCATGTAAAAGTTCCATGATCTTTTACTTCTGTATTTCAATAAATTTTTGAAGCCCCCTCATGTATTTTCACACTTGGAATACAATAAATCACACATCTATTTATTCATTCTACAACAATGTGATTATCATGTACAAAAGTGCTAAAAGCACTCACATCATACAAGGTTAAGTGAAACAGGTTATAAATTTTTGAAAGCTGCTATTTGTGTGTGACGTGCCACTGAGTTGGTTCCGACCCATAGCGACCCTGTATGGGATTTCTGAGGAGAGACTGGTGAGTTTGGATCACCAGCTTTACAATGCAAAGCAATTTTGCAGTCAAGCATATTAACCCACAGCAAAGCCAAATTTATAGACTGGAGACATGAAGTTAAGCGTAAGTGCTAAGAACAAGCTATGTTCAGTAGAAAAAACTGGGAGTAGGGGGTTGTTGTGTTGTTTTTTTTTTTTTTTTTACAATTTCTACCAATAATTGAACATATTTAAAACAATATAAAACTAAAATTAAATCTAATGTTATTCTACCGACAGTTGTTGTAAAAGTGCCATAGAGTCGATTTCAACTCATAACAACCCTGTATACAGTTTCTGAGAAGCAGCTTGTAAGTTTGAACCACTAACCTTGCAGTTCGAACCAATCTTGAGGTCGAGTGATTATCCTATAGCGCCACATAACTATCACTAAAAGTTTGATGTATTCCCTTTGGTTGGTTGACTATATGTATCATTTATACTTTGCCACCATAACCCCAAATTAAATTTCCCATCAAATTTTTCCTTTTAAAAAGACACTGTGAAAAATCTATCCCTAATTCATTCAACAAATATTTTCAAACAGTGTCACCTAAGTGGCAAGTTATACAATGTATAAATGCACCATACTTTGGGGGGTATTCCAGGTTTCTTTTCAGTTTTCTTTTTTTTAAATATACAGTGAGGTAAAATGGCCATAGCTCATAAATTTAATTGTATGTCTAGCTGTTTCCAAAAATAACAGAAATAAAACCACCAATTTTAAGGGTTTAAATGCTTTTGCTTCAATTCCATTGATCAAGGTTAACTGTTAAAAACTTGGAAGTCCCTCAGTGTTCCCTTACCATAATCTGAACAACTTTTACCAACCTAAAATTTCTGTCACTTGCTTATTAAACCTGGCATTATCCTACTTTAAAAAACACACTTTTGTTTAACAAAACTGATAAAGTATGGGGAGGTCAAGATAATTGCTTATTTTATTACACACAAAAGTAAACTGTCTTTCCCATTCCTAGTTTCTAAAAATCTTAGTTAGCAACCTTGGAACAACAGTGTTCTGTGATACAATGATCAAGTTATATTTTGAACGTGTAAAGGAGTGGAAAAAATGTTAAATGAAGTGAACAGTTGGTCTGAAGTGCCGGGAGGTGTGTGTGAACTCCCAAACTGTCAGCTAGTACCCATTTGACCTAGCTTGGATGACTAGCTGTCCAGAACTCCACCAGATGAAGATAAAGATGCTTGATACTGTAAGCAAGAATAAACTGCTACATCTTGATAACTCAAGAGTGCTCACATATCACATACCCATACACAGCTTGTGACAGATCACTTGTTTTCTTCTGGGCAGTTAGGGAAGTGGTATGTGTGTGGGGTGTTAGTGCCCCGCAGGCGCAGAAGCTGGCATGGTGGTCACACCCATGGAGATCTTGTAATGCCCTATGCACTGCTCTAGCCATTTCACACTGTGTTCTGAGACTACTGTCCAGGAAGAAGCTGACCAGCTGAACTCCCAAACATTGTTCTTCCTTATGAAAGAAATGCCTTACAATAGGTGATGAAATGCAGGTAGAGTTGTGATTCTGTCTGGTGGTCAGAGTTCATGCTGTTTCCAGGTGGTCTCCTACATTCCAGTGCTTACTATCTCCCTTGGGAAGGCCCAGGAACACCTTTCCTGGTGAGGTGTCTTCATATACCTGGTACACTGGCCCATGACAGATAGTTTGTGCTAATAGTTTGATTAGGGTGGGCTCCTAGACCATGTGGTATCGTCTGCCCTATGGAGATTCTGTATACTAAAATTGGTCACATGGTTGGTCAACCATGCCTACTTGACAGACTGGATGCCAAGGCTCCAGTGCACTCCACCACATACAATACTGCTGGGAGAACTTAAATCCAGTCTGCATGGCTCCACTGGGCAAGGACAGATGGGCATAGTATGCCTGTTCTCTCCCAGGCTCCACCCCATGTGTACTTCCATCTGTCTCCTTTCTCTGTAATAACCTAAACACTGGCAAAAAAAAGAGAATAAATTGCTACAATCTGATGAGCTGGACCTTTGCTTATGGATGTAGTTGCTCAAAATTCCAATCAAAATGGAAAATTTCTTCATATCAAGAATCAAGCTTGCTGTCACAGTGCACTGGGTTGGTAAGGGCAGGCAACTTGGACACCGGCTATCAAAAATGGGGGCTATAAAGGCACAAAGTGGCTGGTTTACAAACTTTCTTGATTGTGCTTAGTTTCAGAATGAGGGAGGATACTGTAGAATCCCCACTGAATAGTTTTCCTCTTTTCCAGATGTATCTGGTTAAAGGGGATAGGGGATGGGAGATGATGATGACAGAATTTTATGATTCAATTTTGAGTAACTGTTAGCAGGATTAATTGCAATTGTCACAACTGTAATTTTAGAGATGTGTAACTGAAATACGGAAATAGTTTCATCATTTATTTCAAGAACAAAGAATCCCAGGACCATCAACAAGGAAGGGCATGAGTTGAGTGTGAGATCCTACCTAGAAAACTGGCAACAGCAGAGACAGTGGCAGAGGCGATGGCATAGAGTGATTGAGTAGCTGCAGACTCTAGTTTCATGGACTGAGAAAGGCTCTGTAGCTATAAAATGTGCCCTTTGGACATTTAAATGAGTATGTATTCTTTGTTTTGTATGTGAACATCAAGTATTTTTGCTTTGTTGATTTTTGAAAAATAAGATGCAAAAGTAAAGAAAGCCATAGGAAGAAGCCAGGTAACCATTGTTACAGGGAGGGGATTGTAATCATTTATATGAAACAAAATATATGGTTAAAAGCAAAGTTGATGGTCTTGTCTGTTACTCTTCACTCAATTCACAATAAAAAGTTAAAGAAGAAAATCTGTGTTGGGTATAAGAATGTTTAAGACTGCTGATGGACTCCAGCCACTGGACGGTTAACCACAAGGCCGGCAATTCAAATATACCAGCTAGCTGCTCCTCGGAAGACCTAAAAAGGGTACTATGAGTTGGAACCAACTCAACATCACTTAACAAAACAGATTACTGTTGTATATATATTGTCAAGTTGCTTTTCAGAGACTCTTAAGTTATATTTAACATTCTGCACACGAATCAGCAATATATGAAGACTACTTATTGGTCAATATAAATTCTCCCACCCAATCTTAAAATTCAGCTGTAAAGAAAAAAAGAAAAAAAAAAAAAAAAGCTTTAACAGAAAATTAATAGTCACCCCCCCAAAAAAAAAGTCACAAACATGGTATTAGGTTTTTACATGGATTCATAAACAATTTACCTGATGATAAAAGTGCTAAATGTTTAATGATTTAATCTTACCCTGAGATCCATTTTTCTCCATGGTTCCTTATTAGGGTTCAGCTCATAAATATTATTTCTTCTGACTGCCTCAATGTAAGCTTCATGGCCCTGTCGAAAATATATTACCTACAAAAGGAAGGTAAATATTTGAAAATCAACAGAAAGCTGAACAATAACATCAATTTTGTTTTATATTATATGCTAAATTTTTAAGTGCTATTATTCTCACCTCATCACCCATTTGGGGAACAAAAGGAGATTTTCGAAGTGTGGTGTCAGTTATCCAAACTGGAGGATGAAACTCATATAAATGTTCCATGTTCCCAAGCTCTGTGGGAGTCATCCTTCCCAAATTCTGCCACCGGAAAGAGAACAATGTTCACTATAGTAGAATCAGATAACATGCAAGGTTTGTGTGAAAAAAAAAAAAGTTTCATCATTTAGAAATTTCTTGACATACCCACTTAATGATTAGCTTTAACATATTATACTGTACTTATTTGGTCACTTCACATACACAGGACTGTATCACTTTAAATAGAATTATAAATCAGCCTGGTGGTGGTGGTTACGTGCTGTGGAGTCGGTTCTGACTCATAGCGACCCTGAATAGGGTTTCGGAGGCTATAAATCTTTACGGGAGCAGAAAGCCTAATCTTTCTCCCGCAGAACAGCTGGTAGTTTTGAACTGCTGACCCTGCAGTTCACAGCCTGATTCATAACCACTATGCTACCAGAGCTCCTTATAAATCAGCCTACCACAATTCATATCATCATCTATTACGTTTCTAATAGATTCCTACTTCAACTTTATAATATGTCGACAAATTCTTTGATATTCTTCTCCTCTTCAAGAAATAGAGTCTATCCCTACTCTTGAATATGTGCTACGTACAGTGACTCACTTCTAGCTAACAGAATAAGTCAGAAGCCATGATTTGCAACTTCTGACACTAGGTCATAAAAGACATTAGGACTTACTCCTTTGCTCAATTGCTCTTAGGAAGACTGTTATTATTTCATGAGGACACATAAGCAGCCATATTGGCAAGGTTATGTACCATGGAACAAAGGTCATCACTTACGAAGAGCCACAAGAGCCAGCTTGGAAGGTCATCCAGCTCTAGTCAAACCTTCAGATGACTGCAAGTGCAGACATCCTGATCGCAAATTCATGAGGCACTGAGTCTAAATCACCCATAAAAGCTGCTCCTAAATTCCTGAACTACCAACGCTTTAGAAAATAAATGTTCATTGTTTTAAGCAAATAAATTTCAGAGTGACTTCCTACATAGCAATAGATAACTGGCACAAAGACCTAACGTTTTTAAAAAAAAAAAACTGCTTACATATTGAAAACATGTATATATAATAAAAGAACTAGAAAAATACAAACAGGAGAAGAGTATGAAGTTAAAACACTTAAATTAAAATTCAAGTATGGCAATAGTAGACAAAACAAGTAGAAAGCTCCTTAAAATGACTTGAAATCTATTTTAGTGTTAAAAATGACAGAATAATATCAGAGGTATGGTAATAGTATCAGGAAAAGAGAGTTTCCCCCTTTAATTTTCAGCTTCAGAAAGATGTGACTGCCAAACTAACTACTGAAAGCAGTAAAGGTGAATGAGCACTAAAAACAAGTAGCTTTTCCCAAAATAAGTTTGCTTTTTACATTTGACTCAACTTCTACTGATTTGACATTAATAAGAAATGTAGCAATTAGTCAAAAATTCTAGTTATTAAATATAAAAAAGAATGACATTAATAAAATCATAAATGAAAACATTCTTAAAGATAAAGTTTTCTTGCCTCTTTTTTTGGCTTTCTTTCTTTCTTTCTCTTTCGTCTTCTTTTCGGAGGCGATAAATTCTCAGTAGACATTTCATCTTCTGAACTACTACTGCAAAATCGGGTTATTCGTCGACGAGATGACGTTCGTAAGGGAGGCTGTAAATTGATGCCTGCATCAGCTGTCCAATCTGAATATCTAGATGAAGAATCACTAGAAAAGGAAAACATGTTAAATTTTATCAACAAGAATCTATGCACATATATCAAGTTAATCATACAGCATATTAAAGGATGGAAGGAGCATCAAAAGGAAATATATCCCATGAAGATTAAACGTAATATCCTGCTCTCATTACCAATGAACATACAAAAGGAAAAACCTTCACTTAAATTGGAATTTTAGAAAGGATGTATGCCTGAGGAACTTTTTTTTTTTTTTAAAGTATAAAATAGATGAGACCTGATGGAAGTAAAATATTGGTGCAACAAACAATCCTCCTTACAGAAAAAAAAAAAAAAGTGCACAGTATTTAAAAAACAGAGATCTTGTAGATCCGTTCAGTAGCCCATAATTTGAAGGAGGATGTATAGACTAGAAATCTATGCATCCTCCTCCTTGAAATTGGAATCACAATTCATTGGAGAGCAGTGCAAAGGAAGAATAACCACATCAGCTTCTTTTAAACAAAAACTGATTCTATCTTTAATATGATGGACACAAAATATAATGGATAGGCCTACTAGCTCACAGCAATAATTGAGTGAAATATGAAATTAAACAGAAAACTTGTCCATGGCCTGCTACTGGCTTCAGCAAACCCAAAATATATGAGGGTGTTTCAAAAAGTTCTTGCAAAAATTAAGATAATGGAATTTTTTCATGAAATTTTTGAAGCACCCTTATAAAGATTTCCACTGAGACCATAATTGGCCCACACAACTCTCACATCTAAAATACTCACTATTCCAAAACGTACTTATGGTAAGAAATCATTCTTCAAAAAATAGAAGATTTATATAATAAAATTTGAGAAAACCTGACTGAATAAAACAAGATACAAATTTGTGTCCTTAAAAAATTATTCTACTACCTAATTAAAGCGCTCTGGTAGCAGAGTGGTTACGAATTGGGCTGCGAAACGCAAAGTAAGCAGTTCGAAACTACCAGCTGTTCCGCGGGACAAAGATGAGACTTTTTGCTCCCGTAAAGATTTACAGCCTCGGAAAACCGGTACTCTATGAGTTGGAACCGACTCCATGGCACACAGCCACCAGTACCTAATTACTCTAAGGATGGAAGAAAGAAAGGCAAGAGAGGGAGCAGGGAGTATAATAAGGTGGGCTGGACCAGCAAAGGAGGAAGGGAGATAGGAAAAAGGTAATTTCAGTGGTTATTTAGGAAACAGAATTCTGTAGACACACTGATGGACAAGTTATGTACAGACATGGAAAATGATGATGCCCAGATAGCTAGCTTTACTCTTGTTGTTGTTATGTGCCATGGACACTGTTCGCTTTGAGGTTCCCAGCCCAATTCGTAACCACTACCCTACCAGAGCGCCTTTAGTCAGAGATAAAGGTGACATTTTATCAAGATAAAGAACAAACACTGACATCCTTATCCCACGATACTTATATTTCAGAACTAAACAAATTGTAAGGCATAAAATGTCTAATAATAAATGCGCTGAAGGTGTTACCACATTTACTGTTGTTGTTCAGTGGTGTGGGTTGGTTCTGACACATAGCAACCCTGTACATAGAGCTCCCAGGGAGCAGCTGGTAGGTTTAAGTTGATGACCTTTTGGGTAGCAGGCCAGAGCTTATTCTACAGCACCACACCAGGAATACACCCATATACTACTTTTTTAAAAAATGGAATCCCAAGAAAAAATAGTTATTTCTAGTACATATTTTACATTACTGCCCAACATGCTTATTAACAGTCAATTAAATAACGCCAAACTATTTTCTACAGAAACAATTGACCCAGTTTTCTGCTTACAAATGTACTAAAACTTCAAAGTTAATTTGTTCACAGTTGTACACTCTTACATATTAAATGTATGGCTCTATTGAGGGCCACTAAGGAGCTCTGGAAGCGTAGTGGTTACGA